ACCCGGCCTGTGCCCGGGCCCCGAGGAGGCTCCTCGCCCAACCCCGGGCCTCCCCGCCGGGGCTCGCTGTGGCCCTATCCTGTATCCCCTTGGGGTGCGCCGGGCCGGGCCCCGTGGGGCTGGGGAGATGGCACGGGGATGCTCTGCGGCAGGACGTGCTGGGGGACGGCGTCCTGGCTGGCGCTTCTGGGGCAGGACGGAGCGTCCCGGTAGCGCCTTTGGCCTCAAAGACTTTCACCTGAAGAACTGAGAACCAGAGCGTGTTCCCCAGCAGAGCGCCAGGGTGGAAGAAGAGCTGGCTCCCCAGCGAGCCACGGCCCCAGTGAGCCTCCCCAACGGCACTCGGAGCAGCAGTGAGGATGGAGCTGGGGTTGACTGGACCCGAGTGGGGTGCTGGGGCAGCCCAGCTGTTAATCCTTCCACCGGGGTCTTGGCTTGGCTGTTCTGGTGTCGTAAAAGGAGCTGATGGGTCTGAAAGATGAACGGCAGATCTGCGAGAAGAGTTGAGACAAGCCTGGAATGCCTCCAGGTCCGGGCTGGGAATGAGGGGCGGCAGGAGTGGGGAAGCCCTGTGGCGCTGTGCCAGCCTGCTGTCTCCCTGCCTGGCCAGGCTGCGGATATCTCGTGAGCGGCAGAGTTCAGCCCCACAGCTCCACATCAAAACCCTCCCTATGTGATTCCCTGCGATGCGGCTTCTCTTTCTCATTGCTGTGTGCTCCCCACTGAACGGGTGTGTGACCTCCAGTGGCTCCTAGGCAGTTTGGGGGTATTAACAGCAAATTGTTGGTCTGATTACAGTTTTATCTAATAATTTTTCCTTGACTCTTAGCGGTTGTACCCAGCAGATAGCGGCACTTATCTGTCCTTGCGTTGCTTTCTTGCTGCAGTCCTTAAGTTTTGTATTAGGCAAACTTCGTCGATGACAAATCGGACCCTCCTGCTCTTCTGTCTTGCCCGGGGCCCTTCTCAGCATAGCAGGGATTGCACTGCGAGGAGGACATTGATGGGGACAAATGCCACCGTCCCCAGATAATGATGCCTGCATGGAGATGTTGTGTCACCGATGCAGGTCGAGGGCTTTGGCTGCCATACCGGCCTGGCCGGGTGCCATTCCTGGATTTCTCCCGTGCAGCAAGTCTGGGAGTATTTGGCGGCTTCTTCCTGACTTGAATCTCTGTTTCTGCTCCATTCCTGAGCTCTGAGAGACAGCTGTATGGAGTGAGGTGGTTGCAGTGCCTACAGAGGAATCTTTCCCACCCTGGTCAAGACATGGAATAGTCCTCATCGCATACTGAAGGACAGACCTGGGAGCTTTTTCTTCCAGTTCCAGATACATTTCAGAAAAAAGTATCAAGAAAAGAGGATGGGCAAAGAATTTACGTGTTTTGAACTAATTGGGCAGTTCTTGTCTCCTTGCTACGTATTGATAGTTCATATTTGTTCCACTCACCCCAGGTGTTCCACCTTTATTTTATTTCTCTGCCAAAGGCTGAGAGTGTGGCCAGGCTGCCTAAAACCAGATCGAGCTGTGCTGACCGCCTGTCAGTTCCTGCGCTGGCGGCCAAGATCTCCCCAGGTCTCGCTGCATAATTCTCCTGTACCTTTTCTCCCACCGTGAAGCTCAACTGAGAATGCTATCCCTTCGGTTTGCTGCCTGCTTGGATCTGCAGGAAGGTGCTTTAGACCTCCTCACTGAAAGGACCTCCCCATGCTTTAGCTGGTTGCTTTTAACCCAGACTCGATCTCCTACTTTAGTTTACGCTGCGATACAGCTGCTCCTGTAGCCCAGACAATGGGAAAGTAAAAATCAGGGGCAGGAACAAGAGCAGGGACTTCCCAGCTTCATTGCTGGGGAAATAACAGAGCTGCGTAGTCCGCTGTTGCTGTGCAGCAGGTCCCCTTCAGTGGCCTGGGGACTCTGTCAGGGCAGAAGAGTCAATATCCTTCGATAGCGATGGTGACTCCACGCTCTGGACCTTTCGCCCTTTGGTGTGGCCCCGGCACTCTCTGGTCACAGCCAGGTCAGCCCACCCGGGGCGAGCACCAAGCCAGCCCTTTATTTTAGATGTCTCCGGTGTGCTCTCTCCATGGCAGAGCTGCAGCCCTGGATTTTCTGCCTAACCACGCTGGAGTCCCTCACCTCGTCCGATGCCTGAGAGCGGTGAGAAAGTCTCCTGTGAACTCGAACGCATGAGCCTTCAGTCCCCAGCCCAGCCCGCGTGTGCGTGGAGGGAGGCATTTGCTGTGGCGCAGAGCGAGGTGGTGGCTGGATTCCAGCTCTCCCGCGGCTTGGTCCGGCACCCTGCCACCTGTGAGGTCTGCCTCTCTCCTTCCCTGCCACCTCGGGAACGGGAACGCACGCCGGAGCTGCTCTGCTGCTCTTGCAGGGCAGCGCTCTGCTTAGTTGAAGGATCATTTTGGGCAGCCGTGCACTTCTCACGCCTTCTCTGTTCAGCGTGGAGCGCAGTTCAGCACCGCAGCCATTGAATTGAAATGACTAGCCCCAGCACAAATGCCAGGCACAAATGTAATCCCGGGATGCAGGTGGAATTTGCTGACGCATCCCCACAGTGGGTGGTTTCTCACTGGTATCTTTTTTTTGACCTGAGTGGCCAAGCAAAACCTTGGTGTCTTGATTAGGAGAGATATTGGTTGTCATCCTGTGCCTCTGGTTTTGCACCCAAAACGTGGTTCTGCAGGACGATACTGGAGCTGAGAGGGAAAAGCGATGCGTAAATGCATGGCAAAGCGGCACGCCAGGCTGTTGGTCCCTGTGCTGCCAGCATTTCTGCGGTGGCTGAGCTGCCTCTGAGCTGTCTTGTCCTCATGGTTGACTTCTCGTGGCCAGCAGGACCCGCTGCTCTTCAGCTTGAACTCGTGGATAGCCTTGGGTGCTGCTTTGCCTCGGTGCGTGACCACACGAGGCCACTTGTTTCCTGGAGCTGATGTAGGTGAGGCTTGTTTCCATGCTGTTGAGACACAAGAGTTTGTACCTAGCTACCAGGAGTAAGAGCAGCTTTAGGCACTCTCAGTCAGTTGGTTTCAGATCAATGCGCTTGATCTTGTTGAAAGCTTTTTAATTTTTTTGAAGGGGCACAAACCCTTATTTTGAAATGTATATTGGTTTTAAAACCTGTTTATTTTGCGTTGTTAACTCGCTTGTTCAAGCTTTAATCAAAAGCCCCAGAGCTGCAAGTGAGGAACTAGTCTCATTTAGAAAAAGATGTTATCCTTTCTAATTGTAAACAGCAGAAATTGCACCCTGCAATGGCATAGAAAATAATAGTAAATCACAGTTGTCTGAACCCCCTCCTCGCCCCCCGCCCCCATTGTGACTTTGGGCTGCGTGAGGCTGACAGCACATCATCAGGTCAGCTTACGGCTCTTTTGCAAGCTCTTGTTATTTTAAGCATGTCACCACGGCTGCGTTTAAAATAACCTCCCCAGCCAAACTCACGAGACGGAGGGATGATGTGCACACCTGGGCTCTTACGGTCTCGTCTTTTCCTGTTAGAAATGGGTCTGCGAGGAGCTGCCACACTGCCGTTAGGGGAGCGCACGCCGCAGGGAGGCTGGGGCTGGAAGAAGGGACTTCCACTGACGCTTAGTGGGGTGCACACGGGCTGGGGCGCGTGGTGGCCTCTGCGCACCTGTGATGTGACATTCGTAAAGGCTGTGGCAGCGCTCCAGCTGACATCCCGAAGCTTGTGACCAGGCTGTGCGATAATAAAAGGTGCTAGCGAAATAATTGTAAGCGAGTGTAGCTGTACAGTCACTCCAGCAGTGACAACTTTGGCCTCTATATTGTGTGTCAGTAAGTCGAAGCCAAAATCCATTAATTACTAGTAATGATGTTTGGGTTTGACTTCCAGCCCAGCCAGTTCACCCTGGGCTTTTCCCAGCTCATGTTTCTACAATAAAATTTCCAAGTGTAGTTTTATTGAACAGACTCCTGCTCCTTTGCTGTAGGGTTGGGTCAGCAGAACTGGGGATTGCATCAAGCTGTGACCTTCCTCCACCCCAAAACTCTGGCCAAGTTAAACATAAAGGGGAAACTTCCTTGACTGGTAACCAGCGGGGATTTACCTTGGGGCAGGTGACATGGTTCGTGCCCAGAGCCACAGGGACGTGGCAGCTGCTGTCCTGTTGTGCCCACAGTCTGGCATGTGAAGGTGCCTCCGTCTCCACCGGTTCTCCTGGATGTTCAGCAGCTGCTTTGCCAAGCTGTGCTCACAGCGAGAACAGGAGCCGGTTTGCAGGCAGACATCAGAGGTGGCTGTGCTGGCACGCAGGAGGTGGGACAGGAGTGTGGACACGGGGAAGGACAGGCAGCATAAGCTGGTGCTGCCAGTCTGGATGCATTCTGACCTGCCCCTTGCGGGGGCACGTCCTTCCTTTCATCCTTCCTGCCCCTATCTCTGAGCTCCTGTGTCTCCACAGGGAAACAGTGGTGGTTACTAGCCGTTGACCGGCACAGTCCTCGCCTGGAAACTGTACAAAGGGCCCTGCCGTTTCTGCAGCCTCTGCTTCCAGTGCACCCCTGCCCCGTGCCCGCCCAGCCGCTTCTGCAGCTCCGCGACAAAACCGCTCTGGAGAGGGGCAAGCTCAGCACGTTCTCCCTCTGCCACTGCGGGGCTGGGGACCAGCCCTGGCCGAGCAGGCTGTGGCGGCTAAGGCCATGCAA